ATAAAACATGGCAGAGTTGAACATTGCAAGTTCCTAGACTAAATGCCTTCCTTCCCAGTCTTGCAGGCACAGCTAATGTGGACTCAAATGTAATGGACAAGTCTAAGTACTGGCTTGTGAACACTATTTGCCAAATTCAAAAAAAATATATATATATGTGTTGCACTACATTATGGACAAGTAAAGACAGCAGCCAGTTGGAGAGTCAACACACGTTGCTGATGGTGGTGAATCGGCTGATAGTTGCTGAATAAGACAGTTGAGAAACATATTTGTCCCACTCCAACTCTGAAGTTTCATGATGCTCCAAATTGACATCTCGAAATTCCACATTAACTATACTTCGAGTGATCCCAGCCCTGAAAGTTAAGGTGATTGGCAAGGATTCCAAATCACAGAACTTGGTAACAATACCAGGGAGATGGAGAACTATGAAGAATATAATGACAGATGTCAAGTGATAACACATAGTACTATTAGACACCTTCAGAAAAACAAGTTGAAAGACAGGCTTTACTCGAGAACATTGACAGTTGAAATTAGGTTTGTGTGTTTCAAGATGCCTTGTTCAACAAAATGTGTCAAGCACACCCAAGATATGCCACGTCATACCATGGTCGTGTTCTGTGAGAACATACTTTTTTTAATTATGTGACACAAAGTGTTTTTCAAAAAAGAAACAAAACATGTATACATTATATATGTTACACATTCATATTAAGTCAAAGAAAAGTCAGACTGATCGGACCCTAATGAGTAACACTGAGTAAACCAGTATGATGTTTCACTGTTTCATAATTATTTTACTTCGAGTGGTCCCCACCATAGGTGATTTGTTGTGGGAATTGACAATGTTCTGACACTGACTTGTTCTGGCATCAAATCTGGTCTGTGCTCTGACACATCATCTTTCATAAGGCTGTGAAACGTTCTGGGCCATGTTCTGACATCTTTGTTGGCATGTGTCTGACAATTTCTATGGTCTGATGTCCTTCTGGCACCACACATACAAAGACCCAAATGCTATGAAAGTTTTGAATACCATGGCGATGGCTTCAAGATCATTGATTGAATCAGAATCTGTATGAGCCACAAACCGCTATATCAAAGGGATCAACAACCAAACAATCGGCCTAATGCTGGAAAGCACCAGACAAATTACAGACAAAACCATGCAAACGCATCACAGCAAAACCCCTGTTTTACAACCCCCCATTTGTTCCTCTGTGCTAGAGTTCGCCCCGCTTCCGTCAGAGTTCTCCCAGCATCTCTCGGCCGCAAAGAACGTCCGACATGTCTTGCAGCAGGGTTTGCACAATAACAGGGTTCCAAAAAGGCTTACAACAGGGTGGAGGCCATCACTCATTCCGTCAACGCCCAGTGTTTTCCGCACCGGCTCCACCATCGATCTTCGACACCCTCACCGGGCGGAGTGCTTCGCAAGCTCGCCTCGTAGGGCTACTTGTGCTTTCAGAGCTGCTGGCAGCCTGCAGCTAAGCCGCGGGCTTCAAACCGACAAACCTTTGGGAAGAGTAGCTGTAGGCATACAGGTACGACAGATTGATTGGAGTGAAAAACCGATCATATAGATCTATAAACCACCCGAACTCCGTCTTTTGGTTATTCGCTTGATTTTTTAATCATTAAATTAATCCCCTCTATCAGTCCAGCGTCAATCTTTCTCTTCGCTGGGCGCTTCTTAGTCAGGTATAGCAGGTCCTAGAGAGTGTCATCGTGTGCCATGTTTCTCTGGACAACCAGGTCAATCGAGGAAAACAAATGCATTTCCACAGAGCGCAGCTCTTGGGCCAACTTACCAATCTCCTTCTCACACATCCCCGCAAGTTGTGACGCGACATCTCCACGGCCGCCTTGGGAGACCTTGTCGGGGAGGCCACGTCCTCGGTGTCCTTCTCCTCGACCAGTGGGCCTCGGCGTTCTTGACTGAAGGTCGGTCGGTCGCCGTTCTTTGGGGTCTAAGGAGCGTTTCATGAAGCATGTTTGGCAGCTAGCAAGTCTAATAGTCTAATAGTTGGAATTCGATGGGTTTGATGATCAAATATGTCACGTTTGCAAGTTCTTTCTGTGAAAACAAAAACAGCAAAGCAAGCTGATGGTGGATAATTGCGGATTGCGTCCGCAAGTTTCCTCCAAGCGCCTCAAAAGTAACTCCTCTGTACACAAACCTCACACATGGGATGCCTGAGGGTGTTTGGCTCAGCTTGACCGCAGCAGCAACACCTTTGGAGGATTCGGCATGTAAACAAGATGGAACCCACGAACCCGAATGCAAACACGTACTCCTTCACAAACGCCTACAAGTATCTGACTGTTGACACTCTTGTAGGAGATATTTTTGTGGGACACTCTCTTGTAGGGCGCATTGTGGGAATCTCTTGCGAAACACTCTTGTAGGACACTCTTGTGGGACACTACTTTTGTGGGACACTCTTGTAGGACACTCTTGTGGAGCACTCTTGTAGGAAACTCTTGCGGAACACTCTTGTAGGACACTCTTGTAGGACACTCTTGT